AATGCTCTGCCCGGTGGAAGGAACTTTATTCCAGTTTTCTTTGGGTAGCCCCTCCTACCTTTTGAATGGATAAAGAACTTAGTTTAAATTAACAACCTTTGATTCATTTGGAGAAAAAGTAGACTTTGTTTCTGGAAAGATTTACAGACTTGGGAACCGAAGGGGCAGTTCTACTCTGTCTTACAGGACAGCATGATTCTGAATCAACTAGATGGCAGCGAATTTGAGTTCTGAATGATTATATTTACAAGACTGATCTCCCTCAGTGGTAGAGCCTTTATTTTATAACAGTAGATATTTTGCAACAGATGCTGCTAGAACAGCAATGTCAACTTTTTTCCATACAATATCAAAACCTGATTGTTGGAACAAAATTAAAGTACAAACTCTACAAAGTAGAAATGGAGAATAGATTCTTGTGGTTCCAAAGAAAACACTAATTAAGCTCAGTTCAGAGTCTTTGAAGGTTGTTACGAGATATAAACAACTTGCTGAAAATATTTGCTCAATGTTTCAAAAGTCCTAAGTGACTATTTCATACTCTTTCAGAAGACTAGACATACAGAATTAATTTTGAAGACAATCCAGTTTTAAACACGATTTTTTCTGAGAATAAACTCAATTTCTTGTGGCATAAGCTATTATAATTTAAATGACTTTTAGGACATTTACAGAGGATTTCTTCTGGTGATGTAGTGATTACCCGCTGGGTTGCCAACCCCAAGGTCAGCTGGTTGAAACCACTAAGTCTCTCTGTGGGAGAAAGATGAGGCTTTCTATTCCCATAGAGAGTTATAATTTTGGAAACCCACAGGGGGGTTTACACTGTCATACAGAGTCACTACGAGTCAGGATCGACTTAATGGCAGTGGTCATTGCTGTCTACACATTGAGCCTGGGATGGCAAGTATCTGGAGAGCAAAAAGGAACATTATAGAAGGTGACTTAGCTGTTGGGAGTCAGGAGATTTTTTTTTTCTGCTTTGCTTCTTCCCTTCTTTGTATTCTGAGACATGTGGCTTCATCGGGGAGCTCGCTTCTTGGGCACTGATCCAACTTTAAATAAAATTACATCTACCACTATGTTCCTTAATATGATATGAAATTTAAAAATGTGAAAATGAGTGATTGAATTTTAAGACCAGTAAATTTCAAGAACACATCCTGAGAACTTCTCTTATACCAACCGAACTGGTCTTAAGTCCAATGTAGATCCAAGGGAATTAGTGCTGGAAACCATGAAGACTTGGGGTGCTAAGCGTCATTCATAGCTGTGTGCCATGCTCTGCACATCTTTACCTTCAACTGAATAGAAACTATGACTTTCTACAATACTCTCTTTTCTTTATCATGTGTTTTATGTTGCTATTCTTTTTTAAATTAAAAGATCATTTTATTAGGGGCTCTTACAACTTTGGTATCACGCATATGTGTACATATGTTGGCATCATCATTTTCTAAACATTTATTTCCTATTGAGCCCATGGTGTCAGCTCCTCTTTTTTTATCCACAATATTCGTGCTAAATCTCTATCTCTCTCTCTTTGCACACACACACACACACACACACACACACACACACACAGTTGAGGGCAGTTCTATGACTACATACAATCTTCTTTTGTTACAGGAAAGACCAACCACTGTTATACTATCTAGATTGCTCTATGTATCCATGCAATAGCCTTATGATGAAACGATTTTCAACAATTAAATAGCCTTACTAATCATATTTAACATTTCTCAGGAATTCTCAAAGTATGGGCCTTAGGCCAGCAGCAGCGCCCCTTGGGAACTTTGCTAGAAATTAATATCCCTGTGCACTTCAGGAGGAAGCCAGTAGTCTGCGCTTTATAATCGTCTGGGGACCCATCATAATCACCTGGGAATCCACTTCAACTCTAGTTCTGATTCAGTAGTCATATCTCTAGGGTAGAAAGGCAAACCTTCAATAAGACGTCAAACTGGAATGAACAGATTAAAAGTCAACATCAACAGTCAACTAAAATGACTCAGTGGAATTTGAATATCACACACACACACACACACACACACACACACACACACACACAGAGACACGATGCAGCCATATCTTTGAGGATACCCCTGCTTCTCAGAACTTACAGATCACGGAGCCCAACATTCACTGCCATCAAGTCCACTGTAACTCATAATGACACTATATAAGGTTTCCCAGGCTGTAAATCTTTACAAGAGCAGACATCCTCATCTTTTCCCCAGAAAATGGATCCTTCCAGGTCTGTTGTCTCTATTTCTGGAAACTCCTCCTCCTTTTGTTGCCTTACAAGCACTCCTGGGTTACATCTGCCCTAGCAGCTACCCAGATGCACTTCTTTAATGAGCGCAGTCTTTTAATCAAAGATCCTAATACTTTCTCAATTCTTGTCAACAGAACTTTTCATGATCATGGATAGCTACTATGTGTGATGTTCAACGCAGTAGCCACTGGCTTCTGAGCATTTGAAATGCAGCTAGTGCAACTGATGGATTTAATTGTAATGTCATTAGACAATCGAAATGTAAATTCAAACACCCTCATGAGACTAGCATCTGCCTGATTAGAAAAAGCAGTTGTAAAGTGTTTTGTTTTCCTCCTGCTACAATAATAATAATAAACAAAGGAAAAGGGAAAGAGCAATGCAAAATACTCTCTTTTAGAAAACGACCTTGACAGGCATCGTAGTGAGATGCCACCCAGTCGGTTTACAGCAACCCTAAACACGACAGACGGCATCATTGCCTGGACCCGTGTGAAGTCACTGGTGCAGCCCCTGTGTCCGTCCATCTCATGAAGGGTCTTCCTCTTTTGCACTGACCCTCCACTTTACCAAACACAGGTCATTTTTAGGAACTGGTCTCTCCTGATACCGTGTCCAAAGTGCCTGAGACAAAGTATCGCCACCCTCACTTTTAAGGCATATTTTGGATGTACTTCTTCCAAGACAGAGTTCTTTGTTTTGTGGCAGTCCGAGGTATTTCCAATATTCTTCCCCAATATCATAATTCAAATGCATTAGTTCTCCTATGATCTTCCTTATGCACTGCCCAGTTTTCATATGCATATTAGCCCATCGCAAATTCTATGTCCTGGATCAGGGACACATTGGTCCTCTTCAACACTTTACAGAAAGCTTGTGCAGCAGCTTTGCCCAATGAATAGATTATTTATTTCTTGACTATTGTTTCCATGATCACTGATGGTGGATCCAAGCAAAATAAAATCATTGACAAATTCAATCTGGCTAAATTAATTTAGGATAGTATCAAATAAAATATGACACAGCAAGAGTAGGATCAATATTTAGAGTCCATGTAAAAGATTCTATGAAAAACACCCACATCTCAAATCTTCTCAATTATTTTTTTAAAGCCTTATTGGCATATACTTCACATATCATACAATGTAATTGTTCAATCATATTATGAAGGTTTGTGTAACCATTTTGGAACATTTTCTTCTCACACTCATTGTTTTTAGTTTCTCATTTCCTCCTATCCTATCCAGCCATGTCCCTAGGCAAATATCAATCCAGTACTGTCTCTATAGATCTACCTATCCTGGATTTCATATACAGAAAATCACACAAAACACAAACGAGAAGCAAACAAACAAAAACATTGATGTTGACAAAGCAGAAAAACCTCACTCAAAAAGAAAGCAGATAATATTAAAAACAGAAACAACTTTAAAATGGGTCAAAGGGGAGATCAAATGATAAGGTATTCATTGTGATCTAACTTTAGCAGACATAATGGGCTTTAAAATGCTGTCAATAAGGACATTCGCATCCCTCAACTATGGCTTTCGGACTCTCACTTTCATCCATATCCTTCTGCAAACCAGGTAGTCACAATTTAAACTCTGATCCCATTCACTCCTTGGGATTTGGATTTTATTATTTACAGTCCTTGGATCACACCGGCGTGCTTCTTTCATGTGGATTTAGTTGGCACCCCACTATTTATTTAATTTTAATATTTCAAAATACAAAAAGTAGAGGATTGGCAGGAAATACCTTCAAGGAGATAAACTGACACACTGACTACAAGACTGGGTTCAAACAGCAGGCCATTGCGGAAGGAACCGGCCAGGCAGTGTTTGCTTCGGTTGCGCCTGGGGTCCCTCTAGTCCACACGGACAACATCGGAATCACACGAAGCAGCAACAGGGAACCTCTAGTCCCTCACATTCCAACTTAATTTTATGAACTGAAAAAAGGGCTCCAGCCTAAGAGTTTCGTGGTGAGTGCACACAGAAGGACACAGGTTTGCACGGGGATTTGCTTTATTCTCAGCTTAACACCCGTGCGATCTTAAAGATGAAGCCGGTGTTTACCTCATTCGTCAGAGGGTCACCTCTCTTTATCAGAACTGGCAACTCCGCACTACGTTAACACGCATTCCAACAACAAACAAGAGGTTGCAGCGATTGCTGCAGAGACCGGGCCCTCAATGCTTTTCCGTGAAGAACTCGTGCTTTCCTTGCGCCGCCCCGTGGCCACGCAGCAGGGCTTCCGGGCGGCCGCGGCCGGATCGTCCACGCGCGGGTCGATCCCCAGACACCCGCACTGCGGGACGCCGCCTCCACACAAGAGCGGAAAACGGTGCCTTTCTTTGTAGTCCGTGATCGGAAAGAGATTCGTCCTTTTCCTACTTCCTATTCCATTTCTTTTGTTCCTTAGCCACGGGCAGGTCCACCTTTGATCTCCCTGTCCATGCCCACTACCTGGGAGCACCCCTCCGCCACCCTCTGTCCTCCAGGGGGCGCCCTCGCTTCTCTCCGACCTCAACCTCCGCCCCGCAGGCTCCTCCCGCAATCCCGGCCACGAGGGCCCGCCCCTCCCGCCACGTAGCCAATGGCAGCGCGTCTCAGCCCCGACCCTCCGGCGGGAGGGCGTGTCCGCTGCGGGAGGCGGGTCTGGGCTCGAGAGCGGGGCGCTGCGCCCCCGGCTCTTCCGCCGCGCTGCGGGAGCGCACGCCCCCTGACCCCGCGGCTCGGAGCTCTCGCGGGAGCCATGGACGCGCTGGGACTGAAGGTGAGCCGGCGAGCGGGCGGGCCCGGCGGCCTGGATGCTGTTTGCGCTGGGAGGCGCCAGCGTGGGCCGTGGGGTGGGCGTGAGTGGAATTCACGAGGCCGTTATTCCTCTGCTGTGCTCGTGGCACCCCGGCTCCCTAGGTGCCACCCCGCCTGGCATACGGGCCGGCCGCCCTGCTGTGGGATCCTGGGAACCGAAATGGGGTTAGGGTGCTGGGCCTCCAGCTGGCCGTGCTTGCTTTGATTCGCGTTGGCTTTGTCGAAACACCTGAGTAACGTTGGACTCTCGCTACACTATCAGCTGTGGCTTTTAAGGGATTGGAACGAACTAGTGTCGGCTCCTCTTTCCATGGTCAAAACCAAAACCAAGCCCGGTCCACCTAGGCTTGGCGACCCCATAGGATAGTCTAGAAGTGCTCCCGTGGGTTATCCCAGGAAGAGGTGTTAACAAACCCAAGGACAAGGGAACAAAAAAAAAAAGCGATCCAAATTGGTGGTAAGGTGGGGGTGGGAGACCTGGTAGGGCAGGATCAAGGGGAATGTAACAAAGAGGAAGTGCTGAAATCCTGGTGGGGACTGAGCATGATAGTGGGACAGGAGGGGAATCAAGGGAAATAGAGGAAAGAGCTGGGAGGCAAAGGGCATTTATAGAGGTCTAGATAAAGACATGTACATATGCAAATATGTTTATATGAGAATGGGGAAATAGATCTATGTGCCTATATTTACAGGTTTAGTATGAAGGTAGCAGAGGGATATTGGGCCTCCACTCAAGTACTCCCTCAATGCAAGAATACTTTCTTCTATTAAATTGGCATTCTATGATGCTCACCTTCTCGACACAACCGCTGAAGACAAAACGGTGAATGAGCAGATGTGGTGAAGAAAGCTGATGGTGCCCGGCTATCAAAAGATATGTCTGGGGTCTTAAAAGCTTGAAGGTAAACAAGCGGCCATCTAGCTCAGAAGCAACAAATCCCACATGGAAGAACATATCAGCCTGTGTGATCACGAGGTGTCGAAGGGGATCTCTCAAGACAAATGGGTGCATAAGCAAATGTGGTGAAGAAAGGTGATGGTGCCAGCTATCAAAAAGTATAGCGTCTGGGGTGTTAAAGGCTTGAAGGTAATCAAGTGGCCATCTAGCTCAGAAGCAACAAAGCCCACATGTAAGAAGCACACCAGCCTATGCGATCACAAGGTGTCGAGGGATCAGGTATAAGGCATCATCAGAACAAAAAACCTTACCATAGTGAATGATGGGGGAAGTGCAGAGTGGAGACCCAAAGCCCATTTGTAGACCACTGGAGATCCCCTTGCAGAGGGGTCTCCGGGAGGAGACAAGCCAGTCAGGGTGCGATGTAGCAACGATGAAAAATACAACTTTCCTCTAGTTCCTAAATGTTTCCTCCCCACCCCCACTATCATGATCCGAATTCTACCTTGCAAGTCTGGCTAGACCAGAGGATGTACACTGGTACAGATAGGAACTGGAAACACAGAGAATCCAGGGAGGATAATCCCTTCAGGACCAGTGGTGTGAATGGCAATACGGAGGGTAGAGGGAGAGTGGGTTGGAAAGAGGGAACCTAAATAAGGAACTATATGTGACCCCTTCCCTGGGGGACGGACAACAGAAAAGTGGGTGAAGGGAGACGTTGGACAGTGCAAGATAAGACAAAATAATAATTTATAAATTATCAAGGGCTCATGAGGGAGGAGGGAGGGGAAAAATGAGGACCTAATGCCAGGGGCTTAAGTGGAGCGGAAATGATTTGAGAATGATGAGGGAAATGAATGTACAAATGTACTTTACACAATTGATATATGGATGGATTGTGATAAGAGTTGTATGAGCCCCTAATAAAACCATTTAAAAAAAATTACAGGAATAGAAAACCTTCTTTCGCCTGTAGTTTCGCTGGTAGTTTCGAACTGCTGACTTGCTGGTAGCAGCTCAACTTGTAACTACTACAATACCAAGGTTCCTATGTGTAACCCACAGCTCCTCCAGAGCACCTTTATCTGTGATAAAAGAAAAGCATATATATATATATATATGAAAACAAAGCAATGAAACCATATATATATATATATGAAAACAAAGCAATGAAACCTGAAAAGGCAGCACTGGATCACACAGCTAGATAAGCACAGACATACTTGTGCCTACTGTAGTGACCAGTTTCTCGCTTTCTAAATCAAAGACACACCCCACCCCACCCCCAAAGGTCTGTATTTCATTGTACTTGACCTTTTTATTCTCTTATCACTGATGCGTGCATTCCGCATCTAGGTAATGAAACTCTACTTAATAAATGGTGTTATAGAAACAAAGACATGTTGTTTGAAAATCAAAGGAGTCCTTTTAGGATTATAATGGCCTTCTCTCATTTGTTCACTGGTTCACCCATTCCACAAATATTTACTGAGCATTCTGTCCGCTAAAAGCTGGGAGATCCAGTGATGAACACAACAGTTTCTGCCTTCACAGAATTTACAACCTAAGGGCTGTGAAAAACCAATCTTAAATGCCTACTATCTGGCACTAGCCTAGGCACTGAAGACATTGCACTGATGAAACTAAGAAAAGCCCTTTAAATCTGAGAGTGCATGTTCAAGTGAAGGGAGGCAGACAACACTTTGAAACGACCCGTCACTCCTGGGGGGAAAGATGGGGCTTTTGGCTCCCATAAAATGTACGGTCAGGCAGTTAGTTCTACCCTGTCGTGTAGGGTCCCTATGAGTCAGAATTGCCTCAATGGCAGTGTGTATGATTGCTGTCAGGCTATGGAAATTATACAACCAGATCGAGTAATTGTGACCCAGAAAGAGTGGTTAACTCACAAACCCTGAACTATTGACTGTCTAGCCCTGCAATAGAAGCACTACTGGCACAGCGCTTAAAGCAAGCTACTGCCAACAAGAAGACCTGAAGTTTGAACCCACTCATGTCTCCACGGGAGAAAGAGGCGGCAGTCTGCTTATGTAATGTTTTACACCCTGAGAAGCGCTTTAGGTCAGTTATACTCTATCTTGCAGGGTCTTTCTGAGCTGGGATCAATTTGGAGACAATGAGTTTGGTTGACTTTGTTTCTTCTATTTAGCCCTTTATAGAAGAAATCAGCTGAGCTTCTAAACTAGGGGGGAAAAAAGATGGAATCTGGAGCAGGCAGGCATATCTGGACCCGCAAGCAATGACTACTTCATCCCGGTTTCTCATACCCGCTATAGAATCTGACTAGGCCGATATAGGCTGACTCGTACTGTTTGTGAAGTGACTCAGATGGCTCACAGGGAAGGCATTAACCTGATTTCTTTCTTTATAATTAGATTAGCCACCGAGTCTGAGATATTTTCCTATGAAAAATGGTGTCAAACACAAGCCCACATTAAAAGGCTTAGTACCTTTGGATATTCACTCACTTCTGTCCAGCCAATTCCACCTCAAAGCAATCCTATGGGTCAGAGCAGAACTGCCCTTGTGGTTCCCGAGACTGGACTCTACAAGAGTAGAAAACCTTGTCTTTCTCCCTCGGAGCCGCCCAACATGTCACCTCTGTGCCACCAGGGAACCTCTCTAGATATTAATTTTCTGCATTGAAAATCTTAATACCATGAAAGTTTCAAAAAGTTCGTGGGAACGTGTAATAAAAAATTAATATAATTTTTCCAGGAACCATATGAAGCTCCCTCATATAATTTTGTATAAGATTAAAGACAAAGATTCATGACCATAGACCAGGGATGTGAATAGCCTTGCTATCATCTAGAATGTAGTGGTCTTGTTTTTGTTATATTTTTCTGTATTTTGTTTTCTATGTTTTTCTGTACATAAAATACAGAATGGGTAGAGCTATAGAGACAGTGACTGCATTGATGGTTTCTTGCGGGGTATGGTTGGGGGGTGATGGACAGGTAATGACATGTTCTAAAACTGACTGTGGAGAAGACTGTACAACTCTCTTTAATATGATTAAGCTATCGGATTGTATGATATGTGAAATGTATGCCAGTAAACTGTGAGAATCCGGTGTGCAAAAGGCAGTGGGTGACAGTGGGAACCCAAGATTCATTGTGGAACTCCATAGCCTCTGGTAAACTCCCTCTCTCCACATTGGGGGGGTAGGAGGAGAATGGTTACTAAACAGAGATGAGTACAGAGGATCAAAGGCATCAATCTGACGTGAACAGTTAAAATTTTGCCAGTTGATCCCCCTCTGATGCACGCTGGACCTGATCTGTTGTCATTGGAGGTCATCCTCTTGAAGCTGTGTTACCTGTTTTTTTCTGGTTTTCAGTGTATGAAACCCAGGATTGATGAATCTGTAGGGACAGCAATAGAATAGAATAAGGGATTTGGGGGTGGGGGGGCACAGTGGTGGTGGTGGAATAAACGGGAGACAATGTAAAGGAGTCCAGGAAGAGAAAGAAGGTTTGGGAATCTGATTGTTGTAGCAATTGTACAATTCTACTTGATGTGATTGAACTATGGATTGATGTATGTATTAACTCCCAATTAACAATAAATTAATAAATTTTTAAAAACCTTTTTAGCAAAAAGATTAGACAATCATTTCGATTGGAAATACTTAGATTATTCTTATTGATTACCATTTGTGGCTGAATTCAGAAAATAATTAAGATCACAGCAAATTGCTAATGAGTTTAATTTATTGTTATAAAATGGATATTTTAAAAGCTTGATTATTTTTCTTAAAGCCTACAGTCTAGTATTGATAGCCTCTTTGTTTATTTGAGAATTTATTTTACTTTATTTTTTCCAGTAGTTTTGATAAGATATAATTCACATGTCATATACTTTCATAGTTCAGTCATATTTAAATGGGAGCTTATTTTTAAAATCCTTTTTCATTCATTTTTCTAAAATTGATTTAAAATGTGGGCAAAAGAAAGAAGTGAAGTATTTTGATTTAAACAAATCTGAACGAAAACTCATATTTCCTTTAGATCATTCAATATTTTAGATTACTATCTGTCTGCCAAAGTACAGCAAATCATTGCAATCTTTTTAAGCTTTTCGTTCTTATTTTCTTCCAGACTTTGATTAATTACTATTGTCAAGAGAACTTGTTCCATCATGTGCTAATTGTTGCCAGTGACGGCATGAAGCGATATGCCAGTGACCCAGTCTTCAGGTTTTACCATGCCTATGGTACATTAATGGAAGGTAGGGAACAATTATTTAACATGTTCCCCAAATGTCATTTCATGCTTTGCACTTTAAACTCTTTTTCACATCATACTCTGTTTGATTTTCAGGTAAAATTCAAGAAGCTCTTCGAGAATTTGAAGCTATTAAAAATAAACAAGATGTGTCACTTTGTTCTCTAATTGCCCTGGTATATGCCCATAAAATGAGTCCTAATCCAGGTATAGTATATTTAAGGGGAAGCTTAGGATAATGTACCCTACTCAGTTTGTTTTTACTTTAAAAATTAGTATAGCATTCAATGTGATCATACAGTATTATATGTTGGCTGTCGGTACTGTTTCTATTATACATATATTTCATCTTCCTGATTAGGCTTAAGAACTTGACAACTTTGTCAAGCACCAGGAACATATGTCTTACACTTCTATATTTCTTAGGGACTATAATTTATTAGTACACAGGGGTAGTGGGTTAAGTGTTGGGCAGTTCAACAAACCACTCAGAGTGAGAAGGATGAGGCTTTTTGCTTTTATAAAGGTTTTTAGCCTCGGAAAACCACAGGGGCAGTTCTATGTGCTGGGGGGGTCTCTCCGAGTCAGAATGGTCTCAATGACAGTGGGTTGGTTGTTTTTTTTAGAAAGAACAGTATGTGTTAGCAATTGTTATGCAAAAAGACCAGCCAGAAACCAGATGTATACATACATTACTCTGCAGCTACTGATTTTACCACTTACAAATATTTACATATGGTAATTTTCCATAAACTTTTTGATGCCCTTTTGTATGCAACTATATACAGTTTATCCTTTCCATTATATTTTAAAGCTTCTCCCTTGTCTTAAACCCCCATTTGAGTTAGCACCTACAGTATATTCAGCAGATTTTTTAGCCAATAATTGAGCAATATGACTAGTTATTGAAGGAATATTATGCATAAGTAAGCAATTATTTATAATTATATGAACTGCTTGAGTTTTTTAATGAGAAAGAAGAGTCAAAATATAAATAAAGGAAATAGATTTATATTCTTCCAAATATATGCAGTAATAGCTAGTAGCATTATAAATACAGATCCTATTTTAAATTACTAAAACTATAACTAATTATTGAGGGAGAGTTTCTTAATATTAGAAATAGTGTTTCCTAAGCAGAGAATTTTGTATCGCCTTCAACCTAACAAATGAGAGGCCTTCAAAATGTTTATGGAAAAATTCCCTTACCTCTTAAGTCCATTTTTCCACGAGCTTTTTGATATTGATTATAGATTTCTGCACAAATCTATAAAAATTTATATATAAAGCCATGTTTTGAAAGTAAACAAATACAATGGATGTAGGGCCAAGAGAAACTAAAAGATAATGGAAGGAGGGTAAGAGGTGATTCATTATGTCCAGCATATAGTAGTTGAGTAAAATATGAAAACTAAAAGGATTACATTTCAAGGTTACAGTTATTTAACTGTAATGTTATTTAACATTCTAAGAAGTGAAACCGGTGGATCCATAGTTAATTTAAAATGACATGTATTGCTAATCCATGTAAGTCATGGGAGGGCGTCAGATAAGATGGGCTTTACTCTCGTCTTTGAAGGACAGATAGTATTGGAACGGGAGAACTATTTTCTAGACCACAGAAAATTACCTGTGCAGTCCTGTGGCAGTGGGTCAGGATTAGGCTCTTGACGGTCTTCTTTCCTGTGCTCTAGGGAGCATATATTTAGTGGGAGCCAAGAATTATATAAGAGAGTGGTAGTAAATCTAGAAACACAAGATAGTATAGCATAATTGTTTTTGTACTGATTGGAATATTCATTGATGTTGTAAGATTTATGTGTTGGTTCTGTTGGACCTAAAAAGATGGAGACAGAAATACTGGTTAGAGGCATCTGAGCACTGATACTGCTTTCCACCATGGGTGGTGGTGAATGAACTTGAATTCCAGGAGGGTCCCAGATGTCTACAGATATTGCTAGTAGAGGCCTAGGTTGTTGGTGTGTACTCTTCTGGAAAGCTGAGCTAAGTCCTGATGGTAAATGGACTGGGACGCTGTAAAGATTTGAGATCTGGCAAGAGCCAGTTCTGTGTTGGCCGTGTCACTGCATCACCCTGCCCTGATACTCATCTGCCCGACGTATTAGAAACCTTGCTCTAGAGTTCAGTTTGTATTTGTTCCCATTTCTCTTTGTAGATAGAGAAGCTATCCTGGAAGCAGAAGCCAGAATGAAAGAGCAACGGAGAGTGGCAGGACAGGACGCGCTGTACCATGCAGGCTTGTTTCTGTGGCACATTGGTCGGCATGAAAAGGCGAGGGAATATATTGACAGAATGATCAAAACGTCAAGCTGTCGGACTACAGAGGTACCTGGGTTTCTCCAATTGAAATAGTAGCGTTAAAGGCAGCTTACATTATTTATATGTTCAGCAGCAGCAGCTACTTAGTGCTTTCTTATTATTCTCATCCTATGCATAATGGTTTTATTGGACTATTTCACCATACTGACAATTGTGGTCCCTACAGCTGTTTATCAAATTCAACCTGGTGCCAATGTGTTTGGTTTTTGACTTTTTAAGGTTGTTGATTTTTATGCTGTTAATTCTTGGAAAGACCCCTCCCTCCTTTGATTACCTCTTCTTTCCTCCCCATTTCTCTTTATTGAATAGTTCTAAATACAAGACACCATCATTTGTACTGTTAATGATGTAAAGTTGCCACCCAAAACAAACGCACTGTCACTGAGTCAGTTCTGATGCCTGTGACCCAATATGAAGGTTTCTGAGACCCTAACCGTACCGGAGCAGACAGCCTCATCTTTCTTTCTCCGTGGGGATGGGAGGTTTGAAGCACTGACCTGATTAGCAGCCCAGTGCTTAGCCAAACTCAAAACTCAAACTCACTGCCGTTGAGTCCATTCTAACTCAGGGTGACCATCTACGACCAAGTAGAACCTTGGATTTCCGAGACTGTAACTCTTTACAGAAGTAGAAAGAGTCGTCTTTCTCCAGTGCTTAGCCAGAGTTAACTACGGAGTCACTTCTGACTCACAGCAGCCCTGTGCAGGGTTTCTGAGGCTGTACACCTTTCAAGAGCAGGTGAACTTCTTTCTTTTACAAGCAGCTGGTGGGTTTGAACTGCCAACCTTTAAGGTTAGTAGTCCTACACTTACCCAACAGTAATGCCAGGGCTCCTTAGATTAATAAATTTATGAACTTTCTGCTGTCAAATCGATTCCAACTCATAGGGTCCTGGTAGGATAGGGTAGAACTGCTCCTGTGGGTTTCCCAGACTGTATCTTTATAGGAGTAGAAAGCCTTGTCCTCCTGTAGAGCGACCAGTGGTTTCAAAGTGCTGACCTTGTGGCTGAGGACAACTCATAACCCACTGTGCCTCCAGGGCTCCTTCGTTCATGAGCGTGGGTGTCAACACTCCCTAGTGAAAGACACGTGATACATAAACTCTCCTCTGGAATACAAAACTTAACAGTGTCATAGAGCACACAGACAGCTAATGTACTGAATGACTTATAAAGGTAAGAGAGAAGTGTTATTAAAGTGCTTGGGATAATAATAACATTTATTGTTCTCTGTGCTATTTTAAGTACTTAGGAAGCGATCATATCTTCAAGTGTTAGGAAGATGAGGAAGAGTTTCTTTTCTTTTTTAAAATAGTTTTATTGGTATATAATTCACATACCACCCAATTTAATCCTATTAAGGTTTGTGTAATTAATCATCACCACAATCAATTTTAGAACATTTTCTTTCCTTTTAAAATTTTTATTTTTTTATAAAGCATTTTATTGGGGGCTTGTACAACTTATCACAATCCATCCATACATACATTCATTGTGTCAAGCACATTTGTACATTTGTTGCCATCATCATTTTCAAAACATTTTCTTTTTACTTGAGCCCTTAGTATCAGCTTCTCATTTTTCCCCTCCTTTCCCTATGATAATTTATAATTTATAAATTTTTCTTTCATGTATTACACTAACCAATGTCTCCCTTCACCCACTTCTCTGTTGTTCATCCCCCTGGGAGGGAGTTGTATGTAGATTATTGTGATTGGTTCTCCCCTTCTCCCCCCACCTTCCTCTTACCCTCCTCGTTTGGCTACTCTCAATATTGGTCCTGAGGGGTTTATCTGTCCTGGATTCCCTGTGTTTCCAGCTCTTATCTTTTCCTGTGTATATGCTCTGTTCTAGCCAGATTTGTAAGGTAGAATTGGAGCCATGATAGTAGGTGGGGAGGATGCATTAAAGAACTAGAGGAAAGTTGCATGTTTCATCATTGCTGTACTGCACCCTGACTGGCTTGTCTCTTCTTTGTGACCCTTCTGTAAAGGAATGTCCAATTGCTTACAGATTGGCTTTCAGTCTCCATGCTGCACTCCCCCTCATTCACTTTGATATGATATTTTGTTCTGGGTCTTTGATGCCTAATACCGGATCCCATCGACACGTCACAATCACACAAGCTGGTGTGCTTCTTCCAGGTGGGCTTCATTGCTTGTCAGCTAGATGACCACTTGTTTATCTTCAAGCCTTTAAGACCCCAGATGCTATATCTTTTGATTGCCAGGCACCATCAGCTTTCTTCACAACATTTGCTTATGTACCCGCTTTGTCTTCAGTGATCGTGTTGGGAAGGGGAGCATCATGGAGTGCCAGGTTATTAGAGCAAAAGTGTTCTTGCATTGAGGGAGTACTTGAATAGAGGCCCAGTGTCCATATGCTACCTTAATACTAAACCTATAAATATATGCACATAAATCTATTTCCCTATTGTGATATATAAATATATTTACATATGTACATGCCTGTATTTAGACCTGTATAAATGCCCTTTGCCTCCTAGTTCTTTCCTCTATTTAACTTTCCTCTTGTCCCACTATCATGTTCAGCTTCATTTGGGTTTCAGTAATTCCTCTCGGTTACATTGCCCTTGATAAAGCCCTGCCAGGCCTCTTCCACCTTGCTTGCCACTGATTTTGGATCACTTGTTGTTCCTTTGTCCCTGGGTTTGTTAACACCCACTTCCTTTCCCAGCCTCCCCCTCTTTCGTGTCTCCCTCAGAATTGTAGGTCCCGTTGTTTTCTCCTCCTTATTGTTTATCCTCCCTATCTATAGACATGCAGAGACAATAATAAGCTCAAAAACAAGACAGAGCAAAAGAAAGCAACAAAACAAAAGAACAATAATAACAAAAAACCATTGACCAAAAAAAAAAGCCTATAAATAGTTCAAGGGCTGTTTGTTGACCTTTAGGAGTGTTTTCCAATAGAGCCTGATGGGGTGCCACGCTCTGGCCCCACAGTCTATTTTTGGTATTCCCCAGGATTTTCAGAACCTTTTCTTCTTGTACTCATTGTTGCTAGTTCCCCATTTTTCCGCAGTTTCCCCAGCCAGGCCCCCAGGTAAATATTAATCCAGTTACTGTCTCTATAGATTTATCTACCCTGGATTTCATATACAGAGATCATACAGAACATAAGTAAAAAAAAAGACAAAGTAAAACAAAAACCTCAATCGAAATGAAAGCAGAAACTATTAAAAACTGAAACAATTTAAAAATGGATCAAAAGGGAAATCAACTGATAAGAAGTTACATCTTAACTAGAGTAGAACCCCAGACCTCCACATGAATCCGTTCTAGAAGCATCGAGATGCGATGCAGCCAAGTTCTGAATCAATTTTTCCCATAAGAAATAACTGAAAACTGATTAATCTGTTCTCCTCAACCAAGTTTTCACCCTAACCTTGCCTTTTTATACAAAACATTACACAGAATTTCAAAGTAAATAAATTCAGAGTTAAATCACATAATTTAAATAAGAAACACATTAGATAAGCTTTTAACTGCCACAGTCTGGCCCATACCTGGAGATTGATGAGTGTCTGGATCTGTGGACACGGATGTGGGGAGGAGGGATGGAGAGAGAGTCATTGTCTGGAAGGGAATCCCCTTCCATCAAATCAACTGGTAGCTGCTTTTCAGGAGTTTTTTCCTTCTTTGACTTTTCTCACTAGGACCTGGCTGGTTTTCTTGTAAAATAAATCTGTCTAATGTGATCTGCTGTTGGCATTTCCTTAACTGTTTTCTAAAAGGGTTTACTAAATTATCATTAACAATATCGGTAAATACGATAACCAATTTCTTATGATTCTTTTCAAAAAAACTCTTTCTTGGGACCCATGTTTTTTATCAAAAAACTACAAAAAGCCACAAAACTAAGAAAATTATAGCAAAACCCTTGGAACACAGTTGCAAAGGGTTTAAACAACGTGTACTAATAACGCCAACTAACACCAAGTGATCAAAACACGGACTGCGTTTGTTTACAAAAATTACGTGCGTGGGGTTGGATTCTGATGTTTCGTTTGAGCTCTGCTACATAATTTTTTCAACATTTTGCGTCAAAACCCGATTATTTTGAGGACTAATGCGGTCGAGTACCGGGTTTCTACTGTACATCTGCCAAACTCGACTTTACAATACTCTCTATCTTACAGCAAGGCCCTTCACACCCTTAGATTATGGTCAGAGGGTGTTCCCCAGGGGCTTAGCTCATGTGGGGATCCTGCAAATCGATTTGGGGCTTCTACTGTCATCCATAGCATGGAAGGATATCTTGAAGGAAGCAGCATTTGAACTAAAGTCTGAGAGTAAGGCAAGATTTTGGAGAAGAGAAGTGGATATTCCTAAGGTAGACAATAATAGATGGGAATAAGAAAAACAGTAGATATGAAATAGTTCTGAGATAAGAACCTCAAATTTGACTAGAGCACGGTACATCAATGAAGAGCGTTAGGAAAGAGTGGAGGGGATGGGTTGGGACTATTTGAAGGAATGAATGTTTGTGTCTAATTTGATAGGCAATTATTAACCCTCATTCAGTGGCTTAATGGAATATGTAGCCTACTTCTTAATTAATATTGAACAAAGAAGTTATCTTTAATGCTATATTCAAGACTGAGGCTGACAAAGGTTCAAAGCTGTTTCACTGTGTTCTGTTGTCCTAAATTTGATAGAGTACTTATTGTTACTTATTTAAGAATATTATTTTTATTTAATTATATAAGAATAACATTAAAGCATCCTGGTTCATCAACATTTTTTTTTTCATTAAAAAAATGGAACTCTGATTAGAAATAATTCCTTTTACAGGGACAGGTTTTGAGAGCATGGCTTGAAATTACAAGAGGAAAAGACCCTAATATTAAAAAAGCGCTGAAGTATTTTGAAGAGGCATTACAAGAGGAAAATGACATTTTTGCTCTGCTGGGTAAGGTAAGTTGGAGGTTAGGGTAAATGAATCACGTATTGGAATGTACTCATCGTGTAGCTAAAACCCAACAACACTAAGTAGAGACGATACGAATTTTCATGTGACTGCTGTCATCTCTTGGGAGCCCCAGTGATGTAGAGAGTTACAAGTTTGGATACTAACCTCAAGGTTGGCAGTTTGAAACCAGCAGCTGCTCCCGTGGAGCTTTTCAGCGTTGGAAACCACAGGGGCCATTCCGCTCTGTCCAGTAGGGTTGCAATGAGTCAGAATGTACTCGACGACAGTGAGTTTGGTTGGTTGTCATTGTCTGAACTGAAAGGGGGACTAGGATTTGTAAAGGACGGTGAACAATCAGGGAAATGTGTGTTCCCTACCAAAATAGCTCTGAGCTCTGGGGTGGGTTTTGTTTCTTTCTTCTGTTCGTCCATTCACTCTTAATAAACATGTATAGGGTCATGTGTAAGACATCACTCTAGGCACTCGGGAAACACCAAGCAAGGCAAAACCTCTCTGGGGTGGAGTGAAATCTTGTAATAAGACTCTTCTACCCATGTCTCTCTAACTCTTGCTTTTACAGAGCTGGTATTCTAATGGTAGAAGCAGACAGTGCCTAAGTGCAGTTGACCCCTGAACAGCATGGTGTGAGGGACATCAACCTTTCACACTGTCAGAAATCCATGATAATTTAGAGTTGACCAGTGGACAGAACAGATCTACACTGTGCTATGGCAGTGAGCCCAAGAGTTCCGGGTACCCACTGAAACACCTGGCGAGGGGGACTGCTCAGACAAAGTGATTAAGGTTGCACAGCGTCTTCAGTAGACCTTGCAACACCTCAGCTCATCAGTATGCCAACCAGAGGAAGAGCTGCGTATACGTCGTTGTGTGCCGTTCACACACATGGCGTTTGAGGGCCAGCTCTACATTAGATATCAGAAGGTCAGAAGTGCAGTGGAAAAATAAAGCAGGGAAAAGGAAGAGGAGGAGACGAGCTTAGTGTCAAGCTTGTAATATTTATATTTTAATTTTCTTGTGAATTGGGTGAAAGTTTACAGAACAAATCCGTTTTCCATTCACACACTATTTTTTTAAAAATTGACTACAATCTCCAAAATGAAATATTTCTCTCCCACTCTCTTCTTTGATTGTATTGCCATTTTCATCTCAAAACACAGACCCATCAAATCAATTCCAACTCATAGTGACCCTGTTTAGGGTTTCTAAGACCATCAGTCTGTACAAGCTTAGCCTCATTCCTGCTCCCCTCCACATGCCCCTTGCCAGAGTGGCTGATTGGTTTGAACCGATGACCTTGTGGTTAACAGCCCAACACCTAACCTGCCAGGGCTGGTAAACGTGATTATGGTAAACGGTGCACACCTCCTTAGTGTTATTGTTCCCCTTATAGACCTGTCGATTGCTTGGCTGAAAACTGAACCATAGAGTCCCATTCTTGAAAGCTGGCCAAAGGCCATCATCTGAGGGATTCCACCAGTCTCTATCTGACCAGTAAGCCGAGTCTTCTTTATAATTTTATTTTGTTAAAAATCACTTTTCTCCCCCTCAGTTCAGGAAAGAGTATTGTGATTGCTTTCAGAGCAGTTTGTGGAAGGGCAGTTGATGGTGGGAGCTGGACACAGTGTAGTTCTGCTCTCCGAGTTCTGCAGACTGATATGTTGCCGTGGTCTGATTTTCCCACAAACCAGAGATTTTCACCATACATTGTTCCTTCAGAAAGGAAGAAACCAGTGGTTGCACCCTAGTTGGCTGCTCACAAGCTTTTAAGACCCCAGTTAGTCCTCACCAAAGTAGACTGTAGAACATTGTCGTTGAAGATCTCCGTGCCCTTGAGAATGTGGTCCTGATGCCCCAGATCCAGTGACTCAGCCCCTCAAGGGTGGTGGGGTTGTGTCTGAGAAGTTTTCATAGCATTGCTTCCTATCTGCTCCACCACTTGTTTATCTTAAATTCTTTCTTGCTCCACAACAGTCATGGATATATTGACAGCAAAGCTGACTAGTGTTGTCAAAATATCCTCTTTCAAACCTATATTCTCCCCCTCCCCCAACTCCGCCTCCGTGTCATTCCACGTAGAGTATCAGGGCACTGCTGCCGCAGGATTATGTCTGTGACAGTATTTACCTCTGTTGCCTCTAACTCTGGCACTCCTCGCAGTGTTTCAGTTTGCATTGTTTTAATGAAGTGGTCAGAAAAGAGTGACAGTTTCCGTTCGACATAGGAGACGTGGTCGTCTTGGGAAACCACTGCAGATAGAAGAAATGGCAGAATGAGTGCTTTAAGATGTCTTCAAGGGATAGCAAGGGAGCTAATAGGCTAAAGTGAAATAAGCAAGGACGAGAGTAGAAATGGAAGTTAAACTCAAAAACTTGATCCTGTATGATAGGGTAGAACTGCCCCTGTCGGTTTCGATGACTCAATCTTTGGAGGAGCAGAAAGCCTCATTTTTCTCCTGCAGAGCATCAGGTAGTTTCAGACTGCCAACTCTAAAGTTAGCTGCTCAACTTGTAGTCCACAGCCCCACCAAGACTCCGCTGAAGTGGAAATTCGAGCAGGAGGGAAAAAGACAGGTGTACAGGTTGGTGGTTATGGGGAGGTGAGAGACTAAGAAAATTCTGTAAAGTCTGTCTTTTGAGTGAGCTAGAGAGCCACTGGAAGGTTTGAAGCAGAAATAACATGATCTGACTCACATACTAAGAGATGAGCAATTGACAGAATCATTATAAGTCATTGATGTGTGGAAATATTTAATCAAACTTCAGAATCATTGCTGACTTGTGCCTTTTTTTTTAATCAGCAATAAATTAAAATTTTACAAATTTGGGAAGCTACAAATGGAAAATGAGGAGAGGATTACTGTCAAGGCTGTTAATTTACTTATATAATTCTGCATCAATTTCTGTTAGTAGTGAGCTCATGTTTCTGACACCAGTATATGTTTTTGTTGTTGTTCTTTTTTTTTATATCGTTTTATTAGGAGCTCATACAACTCTTATCACAATGCATACATACATCAATTGTGTCAAGCACATTTGTACATTCATTGCCCCCCTCATTCTCGAAACATTTGCTCTCCACTTAAGCCCCTGGCATCAGCTCCTAATTTTTTCCCCTCCCTCCCCGCTCCCCCCTCCCTCATGAACCCTTGATAATTTATAAATTATTATTTTGTCATATCTTGCCCTGTCCATCATCTCCCTTCACCCACTTTTCTGTTGTCCGTCCCCGAGGGAGGAGGTCACATGTAGAGCCTTGTAATCAGTTCCCCCTCTCCAACCCACCCTCCCTCTACCCTCCCAGTATCACCACTCACACCACTGGTCCTGAAGGGATCATCCGCCCTGGATTCCCTGTGTTTCCAGTTCCTATCTGGACACCAGTACAAGTTTTATCTAAAGGCACTTCGTAGGAATTAAGTATTTGGCAAGTTTTGATTTTTTTTTTAACAAATTGTTCTTGCTCATTTCTCCTTCTCAGTGTCTCTTAGAGAGAAGCTAGAGAAGGCTATTTCTGGTGATAATAGAAGCAGCGTAGGAGGGAATGACTTTCTTGCTCCAATAATCAAGCTTGGCTTAATTTTCTTCCTGATAATCATGCAAACTACTTTATTCTTACTTATTTTTCAGTTTACTCTAGAGGGGACTCCATTCGCCTCAGTCCAACCTAACAAATTTAGCTCATTGTAATCCAGTGTTCTGAACTCAGATGGGGGATGACGGTCAAATATTTTTCCTGTGGCAGCTCTAACTATTTAGGCATGTTCCTAGGATAAAACTAGTTTTAAAAATTGTCCCCACTTAGTTCCTTTCTATCACAGTTAACTATATGCAAACATAAATAGTCACAGTACTCTGACATATGTGTCAGCCAGCTCCAGGTGATTCTCCCCTAAAAATACAAAACTCACTGCCATCGAGTTCATTCTGAATCATAGTAACCTTAAAGGATGGTAGAACCGCCCCTGTGGGGTTCTGAGGCTGCAACTATTCAGCAGTAGAAAAGCCTCATCTTTCTCTCACAGAATGGCTAGCGGTTTTGAACTACTGATCGTTAGTAACCCAGTATGCCACCAGGACTCCAAGGTGATTTTCATACTTTCCTTTATCTTATGTGAATATAACCTAAGGCTGATTTTAGATGTACATTGCAGTTTTACCATACATCTGTTGGGGCTAGGTTCTCATATATCACCAAGATATACCAGTGCTAAACTTGTTACCACAAGAAATCTAGAAACAGATTTTTTTAAATGTAACATACAGTAAATATGCCTTATTATTTGTTTCTAAGGTACTACCGATAATTATAGTTATTTTTATTTTTTACAAAAATTATATGTGAGCATGGTGAAACAAACATTAGAAAACACAGCAACATCTGACTGAGAAAACAAATGTCACTCCCAAGAGATAACTAGACATATCATTTCATGTCCATAAAGCTAGGTCTACAAATTACATATGGTAATTGTTGTTAATGTATGTCTTAAATTCTGTTAGCTATGCTGTCGTTTAATCCTGCATGCTCACATTGGGTTTTTTCTATTATAAGTGAGCAGTTCTGGCATAAACACCATCTGCACGCATCTTTGTGGTCTTGCCCAATTTTCTCCTTAATTAAGGTAAATCCCTGCAAATGAAACTGTTGAGGTGGAGGGAGTTTGAACTGTACTTTGCATGCGCTTTTAAAACTGTATCTTCTTAAAGTTGGATGTAACTCTGGATGAAAAAATTACTTGGCTTCAGATACTACCTACAAATGTTCCATAAATGTTTTATTCAAGAAAAGGTAAGCATTGGACATAATTTTTGCTATAGGCTGTTTCTGAAAACATTTTCATGGTTTGTTATCCTGGAATCATATTTCTCAGTTATTTGAAAATGGCTTTTAAATGCAACTGTTTTTATAAAATATCATCATTCTATAATGTTTTAAAATTTTTGTTTCAATGAAACGTTACTTTGGTTTTTCTTACTATGAAAGTGGTAATAACTGTTCTTTATGGAAAAGTTAAAATAAATAAATAAATATGTATATGTATATATATATATATATGTATATATATATGTATATATATATATAAACAGTATCAAACACCCGCCAGAACCTTGTTCCTCTTGGATATCTGAGATCACTATTTTGTGTCACTTGTTTCTTTGTAGGCTCAGTGCCTCGAGATGCGGCAGAATTTTGTAGGTGCTCTGGAGACGTTGAACCAGATAACTCTGAACTTTCCCAGCTTCCTGCCTGCTTTAGTAAAGAAAATGAAGTTGCAGCTAACCTTGCAGGAATGGGACCAGACCGTTGAGACAGCTCAAAGGTTAAGTTTTAAAACAGAACAAAATTTGATGATAACATCTTTAATCCATACTTCTTAACAGTTCTGAGGAAAATAGAATTATGTATTTCTTACTGTAAGATTGTAAAAATTCCATTTTTTAAAACCATATAGAGCTGAAGGGATAACTGTTAACATTACATTGCCTTTAAGAAATTAATGTATTGCTATGCATGAATTTATTGATTTTTTAATAGACACGGTCTGGGCTAAGCAAAAATCGTCCTTGGCTTCATGTTAAAGCTCACATTTAAGCAAGAGGAACCAAAGCAAAGCAACACAGATAGATAGATTGTGTAGCCTGTTAGACAGTACTGAGTGCTATGGAGAAAAAGTAAAGCAGAACAGAGAAATGCAGAGTTCAGAGGCTTCGTTTTGCAGGGTTAGAGATGCCTGCACTGAGAAGAGGGCATTTGCAGAAAGACTGAAGAAGTAAGGAGTGAGCACTGCAGAGAGGAGAAGAGGAAGCGCACGCGTGGTGCCTTTGAGGCAGGCAGTGCACTGTATCGAGGAATGGAAGTAGTGAGAGACGTGAGTGTGTCATGAGCTCCGAGAAGCAGGATGGAAGAGATGATGGCAGGGCCTGGAGGGTCTTGTCAGCCATTGTAAGGATTGGGATTTTCTTCTAAAATGTGAAAGGCACTGGATGGTTCAGAGCAGATGTGTAACATGACATATTTTAAGAGCATCCGCTGCTGCGTTGAAAGCAGACTGTGTGGGAAGGAATAATGGCAGAGAGCTGTTGCAGTAATCTGTATGAGAAATAGTAGTGGCAGGGATCAGGATCACTGAGAAGGTTTAAGAAGTTGAAATGTGGGCATGTTTTGACTAGAGATGGGAAAAGGAAGTGTTGGTAATTCCAAGGTTTTCTGGCCTGAGCAACTAAAATATTGACAATCCTGGTCAAACAGTAATAATGATGAGCTGTTGTAACGTGCTCAAAATAGACCCTGCATATAACCACTATTTTTTTTTTTAACTCATGAATATTTCATGAATATCTAATTATTTCTTGACGTCTGTCTAGCACTCTGTACTACATACGTTATATAAATTTCCCCCACTGGTGGGTATTCTGATTGGTTCCAGTTTTTCACTGTTATTTATAATGCAGTGTATCACTGATACACACACACACACAATTCTGTAGGATAGTTTCCTAAACAGAGATAGTTGTATCAAAGGGTATTGTATTTTCTAAGGTAGTGTCAATCCAAACCCACTGATAGCAATAAATTCGACTCGTAAAATACCCCCGGCTCCTTTTGGTTTCCGAGCCTGTACATCTCTAGGGAAGCATGCTGCTTCATCTTCTCCCTCAGAGCGATTGCTGGGTTTGAACCCACCTACCTTGCAGTTAGCAGCCTAGCACATTAATTCACTGCACTACTGGGACGCCTTACAGGACACAAGACAGTGGTAAAAATTAGATATAAATATAAAATGGTTCAACAATAGAATTTTTCACTTGGTAACAGTTTTGGTTAATTATGCAGGTTTCCCGCCTTTGATTTATTTATATTTTTGTAAATTGGATTAATGCATTTTTTAATGTTCAGCAAATCCTTGCATTATTTGGTGCCTACAATAAATCTGTCTTATCAAGGTAATTTAAATATATATATATTGTTATGTGTGGTTAGCTAATATTTTATCTAGGGCGCTATAGGATTTCAAGAGATTGTGGGTATACAAGGGAACTTCAAGAAGTTCCTGGAGAAATTCTGTTAATCTTTTAATTCCATTTTTCTGGAAAACTTATTGAAGCCAGCATGTAATTTTTTAAAATTGTATTAAAATCAAGATGCAGGGATATTTTTTTACTGATGCAGTGGAAATAAATTACACATCTGTTAAAGGTGTAAGCAAAGAATCTTGTTAATGGCAAACAGCAGTTTGCAAACAGAAGTAGGGACTCCTCATGGAGCACTCCTAGGAGCACGGGATTGTAGTGAGTTATAAAGCCCCAGGCGGCAGGATCTTGTTCAACCACTTTTTGCAGGTGGTGACTTCCATGGCAAAAAGAATCAGAAAAATAAGATTGATACAAAGTTTTTGAAGAAATTCTAAAATTACAAGTACATCTTAAATACAGAGTATAGAACATATGCATATTTTTAAAGGCATAAAATGACAGTATAGTTAGGGTTAAAGAATACGTTAGTTTAGCTGCCAAATTCTCATGTTTATCACCAGATCTGATGCTATGTTTGCTCAGCTGAATGGACTGATTTGATAGCAGCCATTTCTACCCACAGATTTGAAGTCAGCAGGACAACGTGGGACAGTCGTATTTTCCTCCAGAAGCCGTTTGTAGCTAGGTGATGATTGCAGTTGAGATTATGCTAAGGTGCCGAACATACCTGTGACAGTGGAGCCATTTAAGACAAGTTCAGACCCCGTCACAATCTTTAGCCACATCAAGTCCTTGGGTTTAAAATGTTCTTCCTAGGTGTAAATAGTGAGGCTGGTAATTGTCAAAAAGCAGATGTTATTGTATGAATTTCCAATCACTTATTTGAAAAATTGGATGATAGACCAAGGAGTTGGCTTTTCAAGCCCACAAATTTTAAAAGATAATTTTACTTCCACACTAACTGTAATGTTTTTCTGCAGGTTAATGCTACAAGATAATAAAAATGTGGAAGGACTGAGAATACTGGCTCTTTACTATTTGTGTAGGGAGGGGGATATAGAGAAGGTAAGCTGTATTATTTAAATTCCCTTATTAAGAACATTTTCTTATAAATGAACACACACAACTGCCTTAGAACTTTGAAATGCTTTTAGAAAGTGTATATAGATATTTTTTAATTGACATTGACAAATTTACCCCAACAATAAGAGTAGCTTCTTTAAGTCAAATAGCAAATCAAAACTATTTGGTGTAATTGCCCTTGAACATCCCTTAAACCATGAACTGCTATCTATGTGGTTCTCTCTCTATAATGCCTATTCTGTCTATACGATGCATGTCAGCACTGATAGTACATATGGATGAACACATATGTATCTATGTTCTCTTGCCCTGCCCAAACATGTAGTATAAGGAGGTGACTTTAACAAGCAGCTTGATTTACTTATAGTTGAGGTAGGACTTAGATTTCTGATTTGAGTGAATATTTCCCATCACTTTGCTTTCTATTCAGCAATTCATGACACTGCATTTCATGGTACTGATCGCAGTCGCCATCACGTAGCAGCCTTCCACCATTTTCTTTCTGGTTTACCACTGTGTTCATCGTGTTCGTCCTGCCCCGTCCTTTCCTGCCTTCTGAATTTTGTCCCAGGACAAATTTCATTATGGTTAGTTTTTCTGAGGCGTGGGGACCCCTCTGGTCTTGTTATCCACCCCATATCACTATCTATTGTTGGCTGCACACTAAGCCAAGGGAGTGAGGTCAGTTCCAGCCCTGAAGTGACACAGGGAGGTTTCATTAGTCTCCATCAAACCAGTAAACTGGCATTTTTTTATTATTTTGAGTTTTGTGCCCATTTTTCCCACCCTATCCAAGGCCCTCTGTTATGATCTCTTTCCGAGCAGTCAGCAGTAATACCCCGGCACCGTCTAGATCTTTTGGTCTCAGGGTAGTAAGAGGCTGAGGGTCTCATGGTTAATTGCTTAATTGTTACCATGTATCTTTGATTTTCTTCACTGTTCTTTGATCTGGTTGGGATAGTATATGATTTAATTGGAAGAAAGGAAATTTGTAAAACTATAGGTCTTTTTACATAAAAATAATGATAAATCATATCTATCCATACAAGTAAATATTTTATTAATGTATATGTACCTGTATTGTGTGTTTATTTTTTCGTAGTACATTTAAAAATGATGCTGATTTTGTTTATTTCAGGCTACTTCCAAGCTGGAAAGTCTAGCAAATACATTGGAAGCCATGGAACCCCAGAATGCTCAACTTTTTTATAAGATCACGTTAGCCTTCAGCAGAACTGTAAGAGTACCTGCTATGTACCAGAGCTTTGTTATCTGTCATAGAGCGTATAAAATAAGTCCAAACGCCACATAGCCGAGAGTAAAAACACAATACGCACATGAATAAGTGAACTGCTCTTAAGAATGGATATTTCGAGGAGAGATGGTTTCCAACTGAGCCGTGAAAGATAGGGACGTGCATTCGAGGCAGAGGACATAGGAGGTGCTTGACCTCCATCAACATAGGGTGTGTGACTAGGGTTTTCTGTGTTATTTTGCTTTTAATCTGTTTACAAATAAGAAAAGGAAGGTGGGTAGTAGATTGTTTTGGTGGGGGATATTATTGATTGCATCTGATACCCGTTCCACTGTTAGTCAATTCTGATTCACAGTAACCCTGTGTGGGGATGCCAAGGGTATTGAGCTTTATGGAGCAGACAGCGCCACCTTTCTTCCTTGTAGAGGAGTGGGTTTGAGCTACCAACCTTAACATGGTATAAGAAGGTTAGCAGAAATGGAATAGAAAAAGTAGAAACGCAGAATCCATAAAGGGAATGAAAGGATTGAAAAGTTGCATAATAAAACTCAAAAACCAAACAACTAGCACACATAAAAATTGAAAGAAAAAAAGAATATTGCTGATCCAATGCTTGAATAAACTCAAAATTCTAATTTGACAATAACGATTGTTAGGTTATATGAATTTTAGGGGGGGGAAATCCCTACAATTGAAAATAATTCAAGTAGAGGATCATGGAGAATTAATAATAATAATGGGTACATGAATGAAAAATATGTTTTAATATTGTTTATGTTGATGATTGTGCAACTCTTTAATATATTTAAACCATTGAATTGTATTTATGTGCATTAAATGTCAGTAAAACTGTTAAAAATTATTATCAGGTAGGGAGAGTAATTTACCTTTTTTTATTTGCCTTCCTGCCCAACATCATTTTAAATACTATTGTTTATTTAAAAAAACACATAAAATTCAAAGACATCATTTTTTTTAATTGTCATCTTATTATCAAGGGTGCATGGGGGAGGGGAGGGGAAAGGAGGGGGACTGGGAAAGGAAAATGAGCTGATTCCGGGAACCCAAGAGGCAAGTGAATTTTGGGAATAATGAGGGCAACAAATGTATAGATGTGCTTTACACAATTGATCTATGTATTGTGATGAATTGTATGAGCCCCAATAAATTGATTTAAAAAAAAAGAAAGTTGTATATATTCATAACATCCTAGTTTTTGATTCAATAAAATATATCTTGTCTGATTTGTAAAATAATCTTTAGACAATTTGAAATAAGAGTTCTAAAAAATTGTTTAACCGTATTATTAGAAAATATGTACTTTTCAAGCTAGATATTTTTTTAAAACACTATTAATCAAGATACTTAAGTTTTTATAACTACTCAAGATATTTAAATTTTGGTAGTGTAGAAACTTAATATAATAATTTGTGTTTCTTTTTCTTTGTGTTGCGTCTGTGAAGTACAAATAAAGACTTAGAACCATTAGCCTAAGTAGAAGTGTTTGACATCAATTGTGCTTTTTTCTTTTTTTTCTAGTGTGGACGTAATCAACTGATCCTTCAAAAGATTCAAACATTGCTAGAAAAAGCTTTTCGTTTAGCTCCTCATCGTTCTGAATTTGCTACAGAACTTGGATACCAAATGATTTTACAAGGAAAAGTCAAAGGTGCCATAAACTGGTATCAGACTGCAATGACACTTGATGAGACTAGTATTTCTGCACTGATGGGTATGAGCAATATTTCAACAAATGTGCCTCATAGAAGTGCAAATTGCTGTCAATATATGTCAGTAAAGAGAAAATGTAATGTATAGATATTTAGAGAATTTCAAGAAAAATAGGCTTTTAACTCTAATGGGCGTAATATGCCCAATTAGTCAAAAATAAGAATAAAACAACTCAAAAACCAACCAAACAAAAAAATATATAACTAAACTCAGCTGCTGTCAGTTGATTCTGACCCATAGTGACCCTGTAGGACAAAGTAGAAGTGCCCCATATAGTTTTCAAGGATATAACCATTGCAGAAGCAGACTGCCATGTCTTTCTCCCGGGGAGAAGCTGGTGGATTTGAACCGCTGATCTTTTGGTTAGCAGCCGAACACTGTGCTTCAAATGAATATCATTCTCTACTATCCACAAGAAGGAGCCCTGATGGCATGGTGGGTTATGGTTATGGTTTGGGCTGTCATCCTAAAGTTCAGCAGTGTGAACCCACCAGTTGTTCCACTGAAGAAAGACGAGGCTTTGTGCTTCCACGAAGATTGATAGCTTCAGAAACCCGCAGGAGCAATTGTTCGCTGCCCTTCAGGGTCACCATGAACTGGAATTGACTCAATGACAGTGAATGAGTGCATGAACCACAACCAAAAACAGTTATGTGCAATACTTACCTGGCAGGGGAGACACCATGATCACCAAGGTGGCCTTCCCAGGGCGAGGCTGATCCATTGCACTCTGGATGTGCTCACCCCTGCGATTTCCCCAAATGTGGGAAACTCGACTACATAATTTGTGGTAGTGGGGGACTGCGTTTACGCTCTCCCCTGAAAGGAAAAAAAAAAAAGTTAAATGCCTTTTAAAAAATTAAAATTTTAGTTTCTAAATGATATTTTGAGAATAGATTTTTTATGATTCATATAAATTATTATTTAGTGTATGATATGTGTCCAAAGCAGCCTATTTTATTTTCAACCTGTTTTTTCATAATACAAGATTTTTATTGTGACGAGTAAGAACCTTGTTCTGTAATGTGTGTTTTAGCTTAAAATGCATGTGCCTAGATTACTGTGGACCTTGACGATTTTTATCTTGTTTGCTGTTAGGACTAATCCGGTGTCAATTAATCGAAGGTCAATTACAAGATGCAGATCATCAGTTAGAATTCTTTAGTGAAATTCAGCAGTCTATTGGAAAATCTACGGTACAGTATAGTAACAAGATATCTACACCCATTTATAAAATGTAAAAATATAAATCATTTTTACTATTTAGTATTGGCTTAAAAGACTAGTATACATTAGTTTATGTTATTTTTTTCTTAGTACTTTACATCAAGAAAAATTCTATTTTAAATATTCTGCTAAATTATATTTTAAATATTCTTGTAAGTTAATATTTGAGCTTGAAAAGAATCATTGCACCTGAACTCCATTTATATACATTTTCTAACTCAATAGAAAAAAAATGGATTTAAAATCGACTGGCTAATTTATGAAAATTACTTATTTTCTAGGAATTAGCCTACTTACATGCAGTTCTGGCAATGAAGAAAAATAAGCCACAAGAAGAAGTGATCCGTTTGCTAAACGATGTCCTGGACATTCATTTTTCACATCTGGAAGAGTTACCACTTGGCATAGATTATTTTGAGAAGTTAAATCCTGATTTGGTAGTAGATGTTATTACACAATATCTGGATTTCTGTCCAATGCAGGTAATAATCCTGGGACATATTTTCAGGAATACTGTCACACAGATGTTTTACAAATGGTACTAGTACATTATCTTTCATATGTTAGATTACATAGATATCTTAGAATGGTTGTTTTATCTATTGTAGTTAGAATAGTTTTTAATCAGAATATCTCTAGTCATGAATACACTTAACTAATAAAGGTATTAGGTTAAAGTCTTTGTAATTCATAGGATTTATAAATTTTTAGTTTATAAGAACTATTAGAAGTATATCTAATTTATCTAGCTACCTTATGTTTGAATTGATTGTACTAACATCAATGTCAAGTACTTACCCAACCTCTGGACACTCAGAATTATTATGTACAACTTACTGTGCAGTTGTTGGACTGCATTTCTTATACTCAGTCAAACTCCCTTTTAAAAGGTCACGCATTTACTGATCTCTATTTTGTTCTCTGGAGGGACAAAAAGCAAGTCAAAGTGAAGATAGTTTCTCATTTGTAAAACAGAACATCAGAGTTTGGATATTAACTTACATATTACCCTAATTTTTTTCCTGTTTGCTGTAAAACTCCATGTTCTCAACACCCCCATCTCCACCCCCACCCCCACACCGTTGCTTTTTTTAATCACAGAGTTTTCAGATCCCTGGTTTTGAGCCCCAGCATATCCTTTATTTTGTGTTTGTCTCTCATTAAGCTGCGTTACTCTTAGTAACTGTGTGTCACTGTAGTGATTTGTGTTTGCTGTGATGCTGGAAGCTATGACACTCTTGTAACAGATACCAGCATGGTCACCCCAAGGGAAGAGGTTGCAGAGGATCATCCAGACTAAGAACAGACATAGGAATAGAGTGTCCACCTCCGAGGAATTCGCCATTGAAAACCTTATGAATAGCAGCGGAACACCGTCCGATACCAAAGGCCTGCAGAACAAGCAGAACATTGTCAGAGATGGCGCCAGAAGCTCAGAAGGCACTTGAAATATGACTGAGGATGAGCGACCTTCTCGAAGTAGAGTCAACCATAAGGACATGGTTGGAATAAAGCCTCCAAGATCTTCATTTGCTGATGGGGCATGGCTCAGAGTGAGAAGAACCCGCTGCTAGTGTCTATTAGTATAAGAATTTGGAAAGTGTGAAGTATGCATCCAGGAAAATTGAATGGCATCAAAAATGAAATTGAACATAAATTGATAATCCTAGGTGTTAGTGAACTGAAATGTACTGATAGTGGCCAATTTGAATCAGACAATCTGACACAATATCAATGCCAAGACAATATCAACAGATTTAAGAGGAATGGCATCACATTCATCATCAAAAAGGACCTTTCAAGATCTCTCTTGAAGTACTGTGCTATCTGATGGGATAGTATTTATCCACATACAAGGAAGTCCAGTCAATGCAACTTTATTCAAACACCAACTACTAATACTAGTGATGCAGAAATTGAAGAATCCTACCGACATCTTCAATCTGAAATCGATCAAACATGCGGTCAAGATGCATTGATAATCTTTGGTGATTGGAATGTTCAAAAGTTAGAAACAAAGAAAGGGACGTTTTTCGAAATGATGGCCTTGGTGATAGAATTTTGCAAGATCATTGACTTCTCCATCACGATTATCTTTTTCTCCAACATAAAGGATGACCGCACAGGTGGACTTCTCAAGATAGAATACACAGAAATCAAATTGACAATATCTTTGTGAAGAGAAGATAAAGAATCTAAGTTTTAGCAGCTAAAACAGCACTAGGGGCCAATTGTGGAAAAGATCATAAATTGCCCATATGTAAGTTCAGGTAAAGCTGAAGAAAATGATAGCAAGTTCATGAGAGACAAAATACAACTTTGAGTTTTTTTCACCGGAATTTTGAAAACAGATTTGCTACATAGAACACTAATGACGAAAGGCCTGATAAGCTGTGGGATGGCATCAAGAATATCATTCATGAAGGAAGCAAGAGGACATTAAAAAGGGAAGAAGATCAAAGTGGATGACAGAAGAGACTCAAACTCACCCAATTCTATAGCACCTAAGGCAAATGGAAGAAGCAAACGAAGTCAAAGGCTGAACTGAACACTTCAAAAGGCAGATTGAGAAGCCTTGAGTTGCAATCTTGAAAGATTCTATGGGCAAAATATTGAATGATGTGTGGGAGCCAGTAATTGAAGAGAATAATTAAACAGACATCAGATAAGGCATGCAAGGGCTCAGCAGAGACCAGAGAGAGCACGTGAATGTTTTCTTTCACCAACTTACTTACACACCTACATGTATAACAAGGTGGGCAGTGTCCTAACCTAGATGTCCCTAATTTCACTGGGGAAGTAAAGTAACACCAGTGCTGGGGGCAGTTAGTAGTGACTATCCCCTGAGCGGAAAGAACAATAGCAGTATGTCTGCTCTTATAGATAAAGCTGGTAGCCAGATAGGAATCAGCTGTGTGCTTGTAAGAGGTATCATACTTATATATTATAATGGAAAAATGAGGTGGGGGCAATTTTTAATTATGATAATGTGACTGGGACTTTTCTGCAACTCACAAATTCCACCCGGAATTCTGGCCTCCCAGGCTTCTTTAATCATGAACAGAGAATTTGCATACACTCTCTTCCCTATCCTGTTTCCCACAATGATGCAGGAAACATCAAAAGAATATGAAAAGAATATACCGAGTCCCTGTGCCAAAAAGAAGTAGTCAACTTTCAGACAATTTCAAGAGCCAATAGTACTAAAGGAAGACGTGCAAGCTGCACTGAAGGCATTTACCCAAAATAAGGCTGTAGAAATTGACAGTACCAACTGACATATTTCAACATGCTGATTTAGCACTAGAAGACAGCATCACTCAATTAACTATGCCATGAACTGAGATGACAGTTAATTGGAAGACATCCATATTTTCACACATTTAAAAAGAAAGGTGACCAAATAGATATGTGCTAATATAAAACAGTATCATTGATATCACAGGTAAGTAAAATTTTGCTGCAGATCATCCAACAAAGGTTGAAATAGTACATTGCCAGATTCGGAAGAGGACTTAGAACATTGCTGATGTCAGATGGATCTTGGCTGAATGCAGATAATACCAGAAAGATATCTATTTGTGTTTTATTAACTATGCAAAGATATTTGATTGTATCATAACAAACTATGCAGCATCTTCAGAAGAATAGAAATTCCCAAACCCTTGTGCTTATTGGGAACCTACCCTTGGAATGAGAGGCAATTTGTGTGAACAGAACAAGGGGGATACTACATGCCCTAAATCAAGACAGGTGTGTGTCAAGGTTGTATCCTCTCACCATACTTGTCCAATCTGTATTCTGAGCAAATAATCAGAGAAGCTGAATATGTAAAAGAGGAAGGCTTATTAGCAACCTGTGATATGCAGATGCCATAACCTTGTTTGCTGCAAGTAAGGAGGACTTGAAGCACTTAAGATCAATGATTGCATCCTTCAGTATGGATTACAACGATTGTGTTAGTCTGGGTAGACTAGAGAAACAAATCCATGGACACACATGTGTAAGAATGATTTATATACAAGAGCAATTGAACATTGAGAAAACATCCCAGTCCAGATCAAGTCCATATGTCAGATATTAGCCCATATGTCTGATACCAGTCTATGAAGTCCTCTTCAGATTCATGAAACACATGAAATGATGCCAAATGTGGAAGATCACAGGCCGGTGGGTAGAAAGTCTTTGGATCCACTAGCGTTGGAAACATCTTAGCGCTGGCAGGGGTCTCTGCATGGTCTCTCCAGGACCCAGGGCTGCATCAGAGTGGATCATGTGTTTTGTCAGCTGCTGTGTCTCCCAGGGTGTGGCAGTATCCCACCTCCAAGGAGGAAATACTGGAATTCCCAAAATCCTTAGGTGAAGGCTATGCCCACACGAAAGCCTCATTGGTTATGGCCTGATTGACAGGCTAGACCCTACACTTAATCCTTAAATTGACAATTATATAACTACCACATCAATGTAAAGAAAACTAAAACCTTCACAATTAGACCATTAGGTAACATCATGATAAACAGAAAAGAATGAAGTCCCACTTTGACTTGCTTGGACCCACAAGTTGTGTTCATGGGAGCAGCAGTTAGGGAATCAAATGATACACAAGACCTTTTAGACCTCTTTATAGTGTTGAAAAGCAAGGCTGTTATTTTGAGGACTAAGGTACACATGCGCTAAGTCATGGTATTGTCATGTGTCTCATGAATATGAAAACTGGTCATTGAATAAAGAAGACCGAAGAACTGATGCATTTGGACTATGCTGTTTGCAAAGAATTTTGAACGTACATGACCTGCAAAGAGAACAGACACCTGTCTTGTAAGGAGTACAACGAGAATGCTCCTTAGAAGCACAGATGGTGAAACTTCATGTGATGTACTTTGGACATGTTATCAAGAGACCAGACCCTGGAGGACATCATTCTTGGTAATGTAAAGGGGCAGCAAAAAAGAGGAAAGCCAAGATAGATTGACACAGTGGCTGCAGCACATGGCTCAAACATAAGAACAATTGTGAAAATGGCCCAGGACTAGTTGGTGTTTCATTATTGTACATAGGGTTGCCATGAGTGAACCAACTCCACTACCTCTAATGACAACTCGAGATATGGGGTTGACTTGCACGACATGAGTAAAACATCTCCTTCCTTACTCTTTATGTCATCCACCTTTATTTTTTTAATTTTTGTTTACTTTTAAAAATTGTATTGGGCGCTCTTAGGGCTCTTATCACAATCCATACATATATCCATTGTGGTCAAACACATTTGTACATATGTTGCCATCATCATTTTCATTCTACTTGAGGCTTTGGTATCAGCTCATTTACCCCCCTCCCATCCCCCCCCCTCCTCACGAATCCTTGATAATTTATATATATATATATACATACATATACACACACGGTGAACCCTCGTTTATCGCGGTTAATCTGTTCTAGACCCTACCGTGATAAATGAAATTCCGTGAAATAGGATTCCTTATTTGTAAATCAAATATTTTCGTAGTTAGAGCATAGAGGACATGAAAAAACACCCTTTAGTCACCATTACACTCGTATTACCCAATTTATTAAACGAAAAAGGGAAAATATAGTAAAACATTTTGGACGTTACAATTATCATTTATTATTTATTATATTATTTATGGCATCAAGCATGTACAGTATGAGCCAATCAGTGGCAGTAATGACAGAGCATGTGCTGTTACGCAAAAGCCATGATAGAGTGAAGCCGCGGAAGGCGAAGCGCGAAGTGGCGAGGGTTCACTGCATATTTTTTTCATGTGTTACACTGACTGATGTCTTCCTTCACCTACTTTTCTGTTGTCCATTTCCCTGGGTGGAGGTTATAGGTAGATCATTGTGATCAGTTCCCCTTTTCTCCCCCCACCTTCCCCTTCCTCTCCTTGTATTGCTACTTTCATTATTGGTCCTGAGATTTATCTGTCCTAGATTGCCTGTGTTTCCAGCTCTTAGCTGTACCAGTGTACATGCTCTGGTCTAGCCAGATTTGCATGGTAGAATTGGGACATGATAGTGGAGGGGGGAGAGGAAGCATTAAAGATGTATGTTTCATTGGTGCTGTCCTACACCCTGACTGGCTCGTCTTTTCCTTGTGAACCTTCTGTAAGGAGATGCCCCATTGTTTACAGATTGGCTTTGGATCTCCACCTCTATACTCCCCTACATTCACATTGCTATGATTTTTTGTTGTGCGTCTGTGATGCCTGATATCTGATGCCATCGAGACCTCATGATCACACATTGTAGCGTGCTTCCATGTGAGCTTTGTTGCTTGTCAGCTAGATGGCTGCTTGTATATCTTCAAACCTTTAAGACCCCAGATGCTATATCTCTTGATAGCCGGGCACCATCAGCTTTCTTCACCACATTTGCTTATGCACCCATTTTGTCTTCAGCAATTGTGTTGACAAGGTAAGCATCACAGAATGCTGGGTTATTAGAACAAAGTGTTTTTGTGTTGAGGGAGTACTTGAATAGAGTCCCAATGTCCTTCTGCATAAATATATATACATAGAGCTGTTTCCTTATTATTATATATATATTTGCATATGTATATGCCTTTATTTAGTCCTCTATAAATGTCATTTGCCTCCTAGTTCTTTCCTTTCTTTCCTTTTACTTGTCACCTCTATCATGTTCAGCTTTCATTCAGGTTTCAGTAATTCCTCTCAGCTACATTGCCCTTGATCAAGCCCCACCAGGCATCCTATATCCTCCTCACCATCAATTTTAGATCACTTGTTCCCTTGTCCCTGAGTTGGTTGACAACCCTTTCCTTCCCCAATCCCTCCCCCTCCCGTTTCCCTCCTGGAACTGCCAGTCCCATTGTTTTCTCCTCCAGATTGATTATCCATCTCTATTTTTTACAAATAGCATGAATGACATGTATTAACTTTCAAATGCATGCATGAGGAGGAAAATAAAAATACAATAACTAGAGTATGAAAGGCATAGAATACTTTATCTCAGCTACTACTTTTCCCATCTTTCATTCCTAACCTCCCTTGTCCTTATTGTACTTTCCTGCCACATGAATCCATCACCTGCATCCTTCACTGTTCTGCTTCGTACCCTGCAGTGGTTCCACACTGCCTTTAGTTCCCTCTCCCTCTCTGTCTAAACTTATCTCTAAGCCTTCCCTTCTAGGAACCAGTAACCTGAGTAGACCTCGTTGCTCCTCGAAATACTTGGTATCATCACACCTCCCACGCCTTGCTCATGCCCTTGAGTCTATTTATAATTCTAGTCTCACTCCTCTTCGTTTGTCTAATCTTGTCTTTTAATCACACTTTATTTTTTAACTTCTATGCAATTCATAACTAGAGCCCTTAAATTTATTACTAATGTCATAAGACCTACATTTTTCCCCATCACATTTTATCTCATTAGATGTTTCCTGTAATTCCAAAGAATTGTATTTCTTTTCAACCTGTATGTCATATGGGGCAGGTGGGTGGGGGAAGGGTTTCAAAGAATTTGTAGAAAAATTGAATGAAAGCTATGTGAATTTTTCTACAAAATTTCAGAAGCCCCCTCGTAGGTTAGTTTTTATGCTTATGATCATCTATCTTTGCTGTACCTAGTAACAAGATAGTTACTCATATGAATATTACGACATTTTTACATGCAGAAAGCTTTTCCCAAATGTTGCCAATCCATTAATTAGCAGCCCCTTTTTATAGGGAGAAAAGAGATATAAACCACCTAACTTTATTATGCCCAACATTTCACCCTAGGAGTATCATGAGTTAAACTTTCAAATACTTTATCATTAAAAGCAAAGTATTTAGCATTTTTGGATCTGCAGTCAATAACTGTATTAACATGAGCATAGAGAAAATGACTTCTCAGGGAACAAATTCTACCTTTTTAATGATCATCATATTTTCATCACTTTTTTTTTAAACTAACAAAGAACAACCCTTCTAGAATTATGCTTTGGATTGTTCTTAGTCTTACTCTCTCTTAAGTTGCTTGGGAGTTGGAATGTATTTTTAAATATTCATTTAATACTCCAGATTCAATGAAATCTTTATTGAGTACTCATCACAGTATTGAGACACATAAATATCCTTAATACCTATAAAAGAAGTAAGTCTAAATGGGAAACAGCTATGGAACTGCATGAGATAGTATGTCATGCTGTTTGATTACGCAGATTGTAAGTGTTGAAGATAGGTATTCTAAATAATAGTGGTCATAATCCAAATATCTTTTTGAGAAAAAATTTTTCCCTTCCTCATTATACATGAGAACTGATACTGTCTCTTACAATAATAATGGCTTGTTAGTCGATTGTAAAGCGGCCACATCCAGTTGAGAATCTCTGTATGTAGAGAAGAGGGGAGGGGTTTCCTTCATAGTAAGACAAGAGAGTGGAAAGGAACATTTGATATTTAAATTCTAACATATTCCTAAATTGTGATTAAATGACTATTGGATAAAGATTGGTTGGATAGACAGCCATTCAAAAAATAATAAAAATCCAAAATTGTAAGCAAATATTGTACTGCTGTATCATAATCACTATTAATCCATTAAAAACATTGAGGGCATATATGTCTGACAAAAAACGTGTAAACTGTGAAATAAAGCAACATTTGATATAGTATGTGATAAATAAGGAGACCAGGGAAGAACTGATGCATTTGAATTATGATGTTGGTCAAGAATATTCAAAGTACCGTGGACTGCCAGAAGAACAAACAAATCCATCTTGAAAGAAATATAGCCAGAATGTTTCTTAGAAGCGAGGATGGTGACTTCGTCTCATGTACTTTGGACATATTTTCAAGATGGACCAGCCTCTGACAAAGGACATCGTATTTGATCAAAGAGAAGGTCAGTGAAAAAAAGATAAAGACCCTTGAAGAGATTTACTGACCGAGTGGCTTCAGGAATGAACTCAAACAGCACCAGTGGTAAGGGTGCTCAGGACTCAGCTCTGTGTCATTCTGTTGTTCATGGGTCGCTATTATGCAGAACTGTTTTAACAGCACCTAACAATAGGCATATCTTATACCTTCCAGTTTTGCAAGATTTTTTAAAATGTGAATTCGTCAAAAACAGCTTGCGAGTACTGTAAGGAGAGGGAGAGTTACGGATCTGAGCAAATCTCAAGTAAGACCTAGCACTAGAACTCAGATCGCCTTGACTCTCCAATTTTAGCAAGAAACTACCTTTCGGTTATCTTTCCTTTAACAGATCTTTCTTGAGAACTTTGCTGATTTGATATGTGCGTTCTGTATGTTATCAAATAAGTAATTACACAATAGTTATCATTTTGCTAACCAAATGCTACTACTTACATAGTTTCTTTGATAAGGCTCAGAGAAATAAATGAGTGTTACAAAAATGTAATAAAAATATTGACTATAGAAAGAGAACTTGGGAGAAATTCTAGTTGTACTAGTCACCCTGAAGTGAATATGTTTCAGCTACATTCTATTGAGAATGTGCCCTGTGATGACTTGCTCATTTGTTTTGTCTAGCCTGCAAGCCCCGGGCAGCCTCTTTCTTCATTCCTCAGACGCTGTACTTCGGTGCTTGAAATTGTTGTAAGAACTGTACCAGGTCTTCTGCAAGCTATTTTTCTAATAGCAAAAGTGAAATATTTATCAGGTAGGGTATACCTTCAAAAAATTTATAATGTTTATTCTGATAGTGATAGAAGCAAAGATAAATAACTGAAGCACTCAATAGAAAATAAAATGCACATTTTACATGCATAGAGATATTTAATTTTAATCCTAAATAAAATTGCATATAGAGTTGTGGGTTTTTTTCTTTTAATTACTATAAACATCTCTGGCTCAAGTGAATTTTTAGGAAAATGCACTGTACTAAAAAAAAAACAAAAAAACAACTAAGGCACATCCTTCAGATGGTATTGCAACTTGCAATAAGAACTGATCATCTTTAATCCACAGCTATTGATTTATTGAAGAATTTATTGGAGTTACAGTCTAGGAAACCCACCGGGGCAGTCAACCTTTCCTGTAGGGTCAGCATGAGTCTGTATTGACTTAGTGTCCATGAGTTTTGTTTTCTTACAGATTCATTGATGTCATCGAATTTTAGACAATATGAGATGTGCTGATTTATTCCTCTTTGGATTCTGTGATTGGCTAATTATTGCTAATATAAAATCACTTTAGTGTTAATATTTTAGAACACAGACAAGTATAAAGACTAAACAGCAAAATAGATCATCAAAGAAAGTTCATAATAGAACTTTTTAATATTTAAATCCATTTTTCCATGAACTTTTTGAACCATATATATGGTTCATCTAGAGCCATGTTTGTGTTCCTGAAGAAGCTAAATTGTCCACAAGAATGGATATGTAACTCAGACAGGCATGTCTTTTGTTTTTTTCCCAAGGGAATTAGGGCTGCAGCTAATTAAGACTATGATGGTGTGTGTGTGTGTGTGTGTGTCCTGTTTCCCAACAGTTGGTGACCCCTTTCTCCTCTGTAGACACTCAGCAGTCTTCTAGATTCAGCACCACATCTCCATTGTCTTTACAAAAGCAAAGGAGATTGTGATCTCCTTCTTACTGGATAGTGTTCATTCTCCTCAGCGTCTTTTTTCCAACCTGAATGCACTTCCTGTGTGCTTTTCCTTCGTTGTAATATACCGCCTGGGGTTATCGCCTTCACCCTTGTCTTTCCTAACCCCACAGAGGGTGGTCATTTGTCTTCCAAAACTTCCCGTGCTTTAACCTTCCATTGTGTTCCTTGTTCTTCATTCCCAATTCTTGGTGTTAGATTGCATCACAATAACAAATAATTTCTTACCAATGATTACACTTGATGGCCCAGTGATGAACTTTAATACTGTTTTAATAAGTTACTGTACTACTCTCCCCATTTGTTTTTCATGAACACTTACCCTAAGAAAAAACGTTTTCTGTTTTTAGTTCCCAGGAAGGTTGAGCCTTTGGGGAAGTAGGCAGTGAAACTCCTCCCCTTTCCCCCTGGGAGCTCCTGTCCATAACAGTTTTCAGTGATAGCAGTGCTTTCTTTCCCTCATCAGGTGATATGGAAGCAGCTTTCAATAATCTGCAGCATTGCCTAGAACAGAATTCTTCTTATGCTGATGCTCATCTCTTGATGGCTCGAGTTTATTTGTCTCAAGAAAAATTCCAATTGTGTTGTCAGTCTCTTGAACTTTGTCTGAGCTATAATTTCAAGGTGAGTTTTCCACACTGAAAGAAACCCTGATAGCACAGTGGCTAAGTGCCCAGCTGCTGACCGCAGGACTGGCACTTGGGAATCCTGTGGGTAGTCCGCTTCCACGCAGATCACAGCCTGGGGTCCCCAGGGGGAAGCTCTACGCTTCCTGCTAGGTTTGCTCTGAATCATCATACACCAGTCAGTAATGAGTGCCCAGCTTGAGGCGGGTCCGATGGACTTTCAGCAATGTGTCCACACTTCAATCCGTCTGAATTTTACCCTGTAATACTTTGCTAATAAACGTCTTGACTGGAAGAAATTTTGGGAATCAGGAGCAATAGAAGAAGTAAATAAGAGACACCAGTGGCACAGTTTAAAAAAATCAACAAGAACTTGGAGAATAAAAGACTTAGTGTCTCACCTTTCTCCTCTCTTTCTCTGGGCATAGGTTTTCTTTAAAATTTATGTCCTAATTTGCCTTACGGTTACTGTGAGAATTATATGTAATAATGATATGTTTGCAACAATAATTCTATAACTGGGAACCTTCAATAGTTTGTATGTGTTTGGTAAGCTTATAACTTTGTATTTCTCATCTGTCATAGCTATATTTAATCAACCTTTTTTCTCCTCTAGAAAGATCTTCAATAATTGTAGTGTCCCTGAAACATAGAATCTTACTTAAATATAACAATCAGATGTGTTCTAAGAGGAGAGAAACAGACCTCCCGTATAAAATCACAGATAAAATCCGCAGAGATGCCCGTCCTCTCAGTGCCTGCTTAGGTTGTAAAGTGTTTGTTGATGTTGTAAGGCATGCCAAGGAAGTCTTTCTACTCTCTCCCCACCCCCACCCCACCCCACCCCAGGTGAGAGAAGATCCTTTATATCATTTAGTAAAAGCCCAGGCACAGAAGAAAATGGGAGAGATAGCAGAAGCTATGAAAACCCTGCATATGGCAATGAACTTACCTGGCATGAGGAGATTTGGAGCTTCTTCAACATCTAAAGGCCAGAAAACTGAAATTGATGCAAGTCATCGCTTATCAATCTTTCTTGAGTTGATAGAACTTCACCGTTTAAATGGCGAGCAAGTAGGTCAAGTTGTACTTCCATCATTTATATCTGATAAAAAA